CATGTAGAATTGCTTTGTTTTGGTTCAGCACATGTGATTGCTGGGATTGAAGCAAAGCAGATACTTTAACCTGTCCCTTTGCTTAAGCTACTTGATGATATTGAAAAATCAAATGCTTCCTCCCTTTGCCCCATGTAAGGAGAGAGGGGAAACAAAGGGTATGTGACATGCCACTTAAGAAAAACAAAAACCTGAAAAAACCCTCTTTATTTCAAATGACAAACCACCTCAAGCTACTCTGTTTATTGTGATCCAGGGTGGATTAATTTGGCCATCTAGTCACACACTTAGTTTCCTTTAAAGGTGCCATGAGCTATAAACCTTTGACATACTTCTCACAATCTGAGAAGAACAGAATTGCCGAAATCTCCTGTGCCCTATGCCCAGTCCAGCAAAGGTGTATCAAATCAACCATCTATACAGTTTCATATCAGCTGCCAACATTCATCAACAGAAAGCATTTAGACTTATCTTTCAAAAATGAATTAGTCATCCACTGAAAATGGCAAGCCAGTTTAAACAAGTACATGTTGCAATGCAATGTTCCTTCCTTTTTCTGTTTAATAACTTGCCAACATGGGAAGTTAACTTACTTCTTCATATTCCCACATCTGTACCTTCTCTAGAAATTGAAAGACGAGTGAGATGATATCTCCACTATTGAAACAGTTTCTGATCCAAATTCTTAGCACGCTTAATGGCACCATTAAGGAATCCTGTTCATATCCTAAGAAACTCAGGTCACATTTCTGAAAAACCTGAAATATTATATGATGTGAAAGTTAAAAATACTAAGAACTGGTCCAAATGACTAGTAAGTATGGCAATCTCTTCCTCTGCAGATACATTTTTTTTATCTGACAATAGTCACACAGGCAACACTGTATCTGATTAGAGCTTTAGTCATGACTGTTTCCCCGCCACTCCACTCCATATCTGGTATTTTAATTATAGAATACTAAACTTTCTTTCACATGAATTCCTGCCATTTCCCCTTCCATCCAGTTGTTCTGGGATGTACCTGGTCACCATATCAGAGGTCAAGGCCGATTTACTTTCCCTGAGGTTACCAAGGGAAGGGATTCAAAGGGATTTTTCTATCATGCACTCTCCCCTACAACATGTGGCTTGGCTCACTTTACAAGTCAGTTTAAGCTATTTACCCCATCAACTTTGTTTGGCACTGCTTCCATTTCTCTGCATGTGGCACATGGTGGTCTTACGGTGTCCATCAGCCTGTCACTTGTTTTAAGAAGTGAAGGGGAAACTTTCTTTCTTTTTTTATCCCTCTTCTCAAAGGAGACAACCCAACCCTCTTCTTGGTGTGTTTTGGTAAACCAAATTCATCTGCTGCAGCCTCAGATCTTAAGCAGAGAAGCCCTGAGTACAATGATCTACTGGACTCACTCCCTTTGGGCTACATTTCTTGGCCAAACCTGACTTCTGTCCAATACAACCATGGGTTTTGTCTCCAGAACACCCCTATGCACATGCCCTGCCATTATACCCCAACACACTCTTCATCCAGCATCACTATAAGGGTATTTCAGGAGGAGAAATGGCAAGTACCAGCTGCCAGAAGGAAAGCTATTGTGAAACAAGTGGCAGCACATGAGTGCACACAGAGACATACAAGTGAGAGGCAGGAGGTGGTCTGAAACACATTTTGCATACCACAGCCCATTTTTAGTTTTTCTGTGTTAGCTTTCTACTTCATATTCAAAGATGTCTGTAGCTAAGCAAGAAACCAGATGAGGAATCTGAACCACACACCTGAAGTGGGAGATGGGAAGGTAGGAAGGGAAATTGCCTGTACATGCTCCTTTTACAATAAATAAAATGAAACTCATTGGGAAGGAGAGACTATGTAGCAATAGGGAACAATAATGTAGGCTGAAAAGTTTGCCCACGTTTGTTAAAAGTTTAAAGATGCGTACAGTGGGTTGTTAGTCAGACCCCCTGAAAGTCACTATGCTACTTGGGACTAGACTGACACACTGGAAAAATAAACATGGAAAAAAGATATAGCGACCTGAAGACACTGATAAAGTGATCTGTCCAAGGGTAGGCTTCAAGCTAGTAACTAAAACTGGTTTGAGTTCAAGGCTTATTCAGCAGTTATATTCTACAACCACTGAAAGTGTACAGTGCTGCCAACATTTTTCTTTTAAGGAGGACAGATTATGTAGTATAAAAATAAATCTTATCTGATACACACAATTAAGGACAGGTATAATTGTAGTCCAAACTACCATGGCACTATTTTTAGCTGTTCATAGATATAAAGGTTTCTGCTCTTACAAAGTTCCAGGTCAAATGTGAGTCAGGAAACCAGCAGCACTAGCCAGTGAACAGAGAATCACATGTAGAAAGTTGTCAACAAAATGTTTCAAATCTGAAGGTTTGATATATCATACAAGCATAGAGTGGCATGTTCTGCATTGGTGACAGACATACAAATTAATTTGTCTAGCCAGCTTTATATATTGGGAGGTAGAAGTGAAAGTTAGAAACAGAACCACACTTCCTAAATTCTGAAGTGCTCATTGGTCCTGCTTTGTCACTAGAAGCCCCCAAGTGACCAGATCATCTCTCATTAGTCAAGAGACTGGGACACCTACTCTATCACCCTATTTAAAAAAAAGAGAGAAACTGACTGTTGTTAGTTATGCTCTGGTAAGTTATCACATGGAATATGATAGTAAATCTTTGCTGTGCAGCTACCTTAAACTTTTATTTAATTCAGAACCCAGCTACTAGGCTATTAACCACAGATGGTCATTGGAAACATATCTCATTAGTACCAATGTATCTTAAATAGATGGACTGGATTCTAGTTTATTTCTGAGCATAATTTAAAGTGTTGGTGGCAATCTTTGGAAGTCTATTGTATACAAGAAGCTACCATTAGGACGTAATATGGAAAGACAAAAATGGTTTCTTAAAGTCAATGCTGTCAGACAAGGGTGCATTTAATCCCCTTACCTATTCAACCTGTTATATCTGTACATATTATATTGGAAAGCCACACTAGATTCAGATGGAGGAGTGAAAACTGGTTAAAGAAACATCAAGAACGTAATGCTAAGCAGGGGCCTTATATCGTTCCTAGATGTGAAATACAATCAAACACCCCTGTCCCTTTATATCTTACAGCCCTGCAATGTTTTACCATGTAGTCTCTGTATTCTGACACTTATGCCTGACAAAGTGGACATATTCCACAAAAGCGTATATTAAAATATAGCATTTAGTCTTCAAGGGGCTGCTTTTTGTACTGCTTTTTTCATTGTCATTTTGTTTTGTGTTTCTGGTTGAAATCAATACTTCAGTCATAGAGTCCTGCTGCATCCATTTATCAGGCTCCGTAAAAGAAGACTGTTTGCTACATTACTTAAGAGTACTTGGTTCCAGACTACAACCAATACAGTAACAACAGTAAAACCATATTATAACATGCAAAACCCCCTACGAATAGCTCTAAAAGTATGAATATGCAAGCAATCCTGCACCATCACTGTAGGCCTGGATTCAAGAACATTTATACCAGCCTCTTTGGTGGTCCTGGACCTGCATTTGTGCATGAGTCACAATTTCAGTCAATATCACTGAGGGTCCCTCTGCATATTGTTATGGTTTTGGATATATGAATTCTAGCTTCATAAATCTTCCAGGTTAATTTGAGAAGAAAATAATCTCATCCTTTGGAGCTCACTGAAACTATGAATAGATTACAAATGTAACAAACACTACTAAATAAATAAATAAATAAATAAATAAATAAATAAANNNNGCTAAGAGGCAATATTAACTCGTTTGTTTTAAAATACTAGGTCTATAGGTCACCTAAGTAAAACTTAATATCATTACTAGAGGTTGGATATTCGTATATGAATATCCTGGACTCAGGTGGCAGGGAAGCCCAATCCCGCCTCCCCAAACCAATCTGTCCACTTACGGGTCACCACACAGGGTGTGCGGTCAACATCCTGCTCATCAAGCCAAGCCCGGATGTAGCCTGGCTGGTGCTTCTCTGCCTTCCTGTGCTGCTAGTCACTCCAGCCGGGGGGGGGGGGGGCAGGAGGATGAGGCTCCCCACTCAGCTGCTGGGTGGGGGGAAGCAGAGAAGCACCAGCGAGGCTACATCCAGGATTCGCGAAATGAGCAAGACACCAGCTGCATGTTACATGACAACCCGTAAGTGGATGGGTCAGTTCAGGGAGACGGGACTGGGATTCTCAGCCATGTAGGTCTGGGATATTCATAAAGGTAAAGGTAAAGGTTCCCCTTGACAATTTTTTGTCCAGTCGTGTCCGACTCTAGGGGGCGGCGCTCATCCCGCTCTTCAAGCCATAGAGCCAGCGTTTTGTCCGAAGACAATCTTTCCGTGGTCACATGGCCAGTGTGATTTAGACACGGAACGCTGTTTTCCTTCCCACCGAGGTGGTCCCTATTGATGTACTCGCATTTGCATGCTTTCGAGCCGCTAGGTTGGCGGGAGCTGGGATATTCATATATAAATCAAATATTTCATTCTACTTACTGACTATACAAAATGGAATTTAATGAGAGCAAATCTGTAAGCAGTATCGGAGTAATTTGAGAAACTGATAGCATATGAACCTTGTATCATTTAAACTTTATATGCAAGCTGTCTTGGAAATTATGCTTAGAAAGGCAGAGAGTGAGTCTTTAAAAGAAATGCACTTACACAAGAGAATAAAAAAGCAAGTCATTCCAAGAAAAGCAGTATGTCTGTTAATATGGCATTTATCTTCTTAAATATTCACATACAAAAGAACAGGGCCCCTCAATTTTACTTTGATCCATTAGTCCTAAAAGGTCACTGCCAAATTATACAAGCACTCCTTCACATTTTTTTTTTGCCTGGGTCAAGGAACTTGAGATAAAGGCACAGTCTCTACAGCTGTTTTTCAGAAATGTGTGGAAAAGTCCAAAGAAGAACACAGAATTCAAACACATAAATAACAATTTCTTACCTATGCTCTTCTAAAGGAATATGAAGGAAAGATGTGGGAAACTCCTGGGAAATATAACCGAGAGTTGTCCAAATTAGGCGAACTCTAGAACCAAGAAAAACAAATTACACATTTATTTCACCGTGACTATAATCTGACATTTACTATCATTGGAAGAAAAAACAACAACAACAAGGCTGAATAGTAACAACTTACAAGAAGGGGCTGTTCTTCAAAACAGGTTCAATATTCTGACATTTGATTGTCTTTAGTAGCTTAAGGTTATGCAACTTGTTTATATAATCCAGGCACCAGAATCCTGCTGGTTTAAGCAATCATGGAAGGGCAACTGTGCAAATGTTTCCTTGCTCTGGGCAGGCTCTCTTATGGGTGTCCAGTCATGTACTACAGTATTTGTAAAATCATGTGCAGGACTAACTGTACAAAGGACAGCCCACAAAAAGAGAAACAAAATCACTCTGTGACTACCCTTGGGAACACAGATTTTCTCAAAAGGGTTCTGGCCATAGTACCTAGACACAGAGCTAAGATGTTTATACAGGGAAAGGACTCTACAGGTCATCTGACTAGTCATACCTTTCTTCTAAAAGTATACCCAAATGCAGCAGTTAACACAGGCTGGGAAGGGTGAACTCTTGACAGAAGGGTGACAAAAAGGACTGTCTAAACAAGTTGCATAACTTTAAGCTAGTAAAGACAGAGAAATGGCTAAATATTGAACCTGTTTTGAAGAACGGACCCTTCTCCTTTGAGGGATACTGGCAACAGTCTCCCCTAACACCAAAAAATTAAAATTGCTATAGCTGGTGACACCCTATTAGTCTACTACTTGTGCATTATTTTTATGCAACATTTACAGAGTGTCCACAATTCTCTATCCACTGAATGTAAAAAGAAAAATTGGTAGCCTCTGTACACAGTCCCATACTCCAATAACCACAATACAAAAACATATATTAATGGGGATGGAAAGGAAAGCAAGTACAGTATTTGAGTAGTAGCTTCTTTTCATGTTCATAGAGGGCAATACTGATGCCTCCCCTCCCAAATACAGTGATCCCACCCCCGAGGGAGACAGGGGCCACAGTCACCCAGTGGCCTTTAGTCTTTTAGCTGACTGGTCAGCTTTCAATTCCTAAAGCAACTTCAGTGCTAAACAGAGGAGTCTAGATAAAGGAAATTAAATTAGGAGAAACAAAAACAATACACGAAAAACAGATCAGCCTTGTTGCAGCAATAGTTCCCAGAACTTCCATTTCAAGGAATCTCTAAGCCAGGAATAGGCTGCTGTGGATATCCAAATGTTGTCAGATCCTGGAAATGTTCCTCTTTTGGGCTTCCATTTCCAAGCTGCAACTCTAAAACCCATCAGGGCAGGGGAGATTCTGAGAGCGATGCAACCTTTCCATGAGCCTCTACCGTGGAAGGGCTCTTCAGAGTTACAGGCCAACATCTGGAGGGTTAAAAGTTGCCCACCCCTGCTCTAAAATAAGGAACAATAGGCTTCCTTAGAAAAGCTCGGTAACTGTTGGATTTGAATGGATACATTCAAAGTTTTCAACTCAGCAATCCAGAAACTGAGTTAGAAATCAGTAAGTAGAAAAAAGAATGGTTTGCTTATTAAAACCCAGCAATCTTCAGGTGGCAATAACACTGGAAAATAATACTGGTTTCTTCACACTGCTTCACAGCAAGCCTCCTTGTATCTACAACAGGAATAGTCTACATGTCACCCATAGGAGAATCAACAGAAAAGTAGGGCTAAATGAGCTTCTAATACACCCCTTCTGCAACTATAACCATAACCACTTGAACCGAAATCACAGTAGATTTAGACAAATATCGGGGAAAAGGATGACAGGAGAAGCTTTAAACATTTGTTCAAAGAAATACTGTACAAGAAATGCATATAGCATTGTGAATTCAAGCCTGCACTAATTTGGTGGCACTGTATATGGGATGGAACTCCATCTTGGATACAGACCTTAAAATGGGAGGTGGGGGCTGTGTTTGTCAGAGAAGCCAAGAGCTTAGACTCCTAGGTGGGTCATCCAAGGTGGAATGCTCACAGCTGAGACATGAAACTAAGTATTCACACTCTTCAGGAGTAACAGCAGCAGAAGCCGAAGAAAAGGACTAATTCCAATGGTGATGGGAGCGGAGAAACGTCTGGAGGGTAGCTACTGGTTAGCATCCTTAGCTGAAAGTGACACTGGCAGAGGATATTTCACAGACAATGGCAGTGACATTCAAACTAAATTCTGTTAGTTATGCGCAGAAGGTGGCAATGGAAAACCGCTACTGAAGTTTCCTTACAATAAATCCCTATGATGAGAAAGTCCAAAATGAAACAAGAAATAGTTCTGGAAGATTGGACTGCAATGTTAGAAACCATTCAGCCTTTAGGGAAGAACAAAGGACAAGTGTGAATAGCTCTGTCACTAATAATGCAACTACATTAAAGCCAAAAGGATGTTCAGTGGCTGATATGCACAGAAGTGAAAGGAAAGTCTAATGCTGAACACATACAATTGGAAAATGGAACATGAGACATATGTATCAAGGTAAACTGAAAGTCGTAAAGCAAGAAATAGAACACTTAAGCACTTCAGTACTTGGTGTCAGTGAGCTAAAGGGGACAAGAATGGGACATTTTCAGACAGAAAACTACAAAGTGTTTTACTGCGGAAGTGACAAACTCAGAAGAAATTGAGTGGTTCTAAAACTGAGGCAAGATGTAGCACTGGCACTAAGGGACTGTAAAGACACGTCTGACCTAATAATATCAATCAGAGTTCTGGAAAAACTCATCAATACAAACATCATTCAAATTTATTCTTCAGGTACAATGCTCAAGACGATGACATTTAAAGCTGTTATGGAAATATCTAGGGGGATATTGCTCACACACCAAAAGAAGACATGATTATAATCAAAGCTGACTGGAATGCAAAAGGAGGACACAAAAGAGAACCAAATATTGTTAGGAAATGTGGCCTAAGGGTCAGAAACAAAGCTGGAAAACCATTCATCAAGTTCTGTGGTGCCAGCTATCTCTTTATCACAAATACATGCCTCAAGCAATCAAACAGATAACTGTACACTTGGACATCACCAGATGGCCAATATCAGAAAGAGGAAGCAGAAGATGGAGAAGCTGCATTTTCTCTACTAAAGGAAGACCAGGAGCGGACTGTGGTAATGATCATGAACTGTTAATACCCAACATTAGAGTAAAGCTGAAAAAGAACATTAAAAGAATTTTAGTGCCAAAATATTGTTTAAACAACATTCCTGATGAATTTGAAGTCCACATAAGGAACAGATTTGCATTATTAAACTCAATCAACCATGAGCCAGCAGAACTGTTAATTGCAACCAGAGAAATTATTAGGGAAGACTGCAAAAATACAATTCCTCTAAGAAAAGAAAAGAAAAACCCAGCTGGATAATGGAAGAAACACTTAATACTATCAAAGACAGATCAGAAACAAAAGTAAAGGGTGACAGAAGTAGGGTCAGAATGCTGAATGCAGCTTTTCGGCAATTGTCACACAGAGAAATAGAAGAAAAAACTAAACCCGGGGGGGGGATTTCTTCCAGAAGATCCAAGAAATCAAAGGGAAATTTAAGCATAGGTTAGGAATGCTGAAAGACCAACAGGAAAGCACACTATCTGATCAGGAGAAAATATGCAAAGAGGTATTAACATATCTTGAAGACTTATACAGAAGAGATAAAAGTATGATAGATTCCTTTGAAGAGAAATCCTATGATGAAGAATCTGCAATTCTAGAAAGTAAAGTGAAAGTTCCAGGAAGAAATAAATCACCAGAGGTAGACTGGACACAAATAGAACTGTTTAAAGCCACAGAGACTGAATCTGCAAAAACCTAGCAAGAACAGGCCAACAAAAACTTTCAATATACATTCTAATCCCCAAGAAAGTGCAGTAGCTACAGGACTATTGCTCTAAATTCCTATGCAAGCAAAGTGATGCTCAGGGCAACTGCAACCAAGGCTTTCACCTTATATGGAGTGAGAAGTGTCTGGTGTTCAAGCTGAATTCCAAAATGGAAGAGGCACTCGAGATCATATTTCAAATATCTGTTGGCTACTGGAGCACTCCAAAGAATGTCAGATTAATCTATGGTTTATAGATTGCAGCTAAGCCTTTGACTGTGTGGATCATGAGAAACTATGGGTTCAGAAAGAAATGGGTATACCTCAGCACTTGATTGTCCTGATGCATAACCTGTATTGTGGATAAGAAGCTACTATTAGCATAGAACACACACAGAGAGAGAATGGTTCCTATTGGCAAAAATGTCAGACAAGGATGCATTTTATCTCCCGATCTGTTCAAGCTATTACTGATCACTATTTCCTGGTGTGAAAGCTGAACAGTGAAGATAGTTGTCAGTAAAACATTGATTCATTTGAAATACGGTGCTGGAGGATAGCCTTGCAGCTACCTTGCACCACCAGGATGACGAACTGGGTCCTAGAGCAAATCAAGCCTGAATTATGTCAGGAGGCAAAAATGATGAAACTGCACTTGTCCCCCTTTGGGTACATCATGAAAAGACTGATTCATTGGAAAATATAGTGCTGGAAAAAGTTGAAGGCAGCAGGAGAAGAGGAAGACTAAATATGAAATAGACGGACTCCATAAAGAAAGCCACAAGCTTGAGTTCACAAGAGCTGAGCAGGACTGTTGAGGACAGGAGATTTTTCATTCTTAGGGTTGCCATAAATCAGAGGCAACTTGATGGCACATAACAATAACATAGAGGGTAGGCAAAATCACAGGAATATACCAGGACAAATGACATATATTCTAGCAGGGGTTCTCCAGAGTCCCACACTTTTCCATCACTTACTACACGTGCCATTTTAAACTTGAAATGCATTTGCTTCTATTTACCACTGAGCTATAACTCCTCTCCAATTGTGCTCATTCGTTTTCATATTAACAAGTTTCAGTGTTTAAGTAACTTGGCTTTCAGTATGCTACTATTTTACATTGTTATTTCAACAATCATAGTCACGAACTCTATAGTCACATAAGTCAGTAGGTTTACAGTCTCTCTAAAAATCTGAGGTCACATGCCCCAGCCAAAGAAAAGAAGTACAGAAAGCTTCAGCCCCCATCTGAGGTCTTTGGCTATTTTCCTCCTGAGATATTGTCCCCAAAGCCAGTCATTTTAGATATGCATTTTAAAATTTAAGCAAAATACTAGCTAATCTTTTTGGTATTCCTTTACGGTTTAAAGCACAAGTTACTTTAGCAGCCAAGATGGCATCTTAAAACCAAGGATAATCAACTTCTAATTTCATCATGAGCCCAGTATTCCCCAAAGGTGAATTTTGCCACACAAGTTGTTCCTCCTGCCAAATCCTCAGATGCCAGGACATGTTATCTATTAAAGAGGGCTTCCTTGCCATGAAGATAATACTCTCAGGCATATATTTACAGATACATATACACATCTGCATTCTTAAAAAAATGTTAAAGGATACAGCACTGAATCTGCATGTTACATCTTATAAATGTTTTCATTAATACTGAAGCAGAAGGCTCATTCTTTTTAATCCCATATTGTATTTAGAATTACGAGAGTTGCCACAGACCAAAGACCAACTCACAGAATTAGTAGCTGGTTAACTATGGTTTAACACAGGGAACTATTTCGAGACGTACAGCCCAGCAATGTGTTACTAACCACCGCAATGTTAATAGTTTTTAAAGATCAAATCTACTAAAAGGACAAACACAATTAATCTCTCATTAACAAACTCTAAAATCACGCTAGATCTCAGAGAAGGCTAAGCATCATATGCTAGTCTAATGAGACATGTTTTCACTCCTTTCTCTGATTTTAAGATGAGAGTAAAAACACATTTTTAGACTTATATATAATGCTTAGTCTGCTCTAATATGTTGCTTTAATCTGTAACTTTAGTGATTTTATTCATTTTTAATAAAAACAAATGAAAGCACCAAAGTTACAGATTAACTTTACATTTCTATGATTATTTTTTAGCTAAACATGTTTTTTCTATTTTGATTCTTTTAAAAAGCTTGAAAGCCACCTTGTAAAGGCAATCAATCAATCAGAGTAAAGTAAAGTAAATCTGTTTCCAAGTTAAATAGAATGGGCCTAACAGACACTACAATAAGCCAACATTCTTGAGAATAGTGGTCTATCATGTATACTGCAGGGTTACACTGTTTTTTCTTGGTTTGCCGCAACAGTGGTGGGCCAAAGTACACGATTTAGATGTCATGATAAGCAAGGGTCATTATTATTTTTTAAGTTGCTTTTGCTTAAAACATTAAGCCAGGACACTACTGGAAGTTTAGTTTTTACAAGTTCTGTTTCTAATGCTCCCAAATACGTGGCCTGCCAACTAAGATTCCACTTTTAGCTGGTTTATCTAACAGTAAACTAGTCTCAACTTCCCCAGAGTATTCAGAAATGCTTAATTTCCAATTTTCTATTTCCAAGCACCATGAAAAACTACCTCAGATAGGAATTTTGCATAAAAGTGGCTTTTAAACGCACAGCAGTCTTTGCCCTGCCTTATCTGGTTGGACTTTTGTTCTCCCTTATCTTGCCATTTTTATTCCTCATGATCCAGACGAACAGTTCCCCTCTCCATTCTTAGAACAGACAGTTCTTAGGACAGCTGATAATGGACCGTTCATTGACATTACCATGCACACCTGAATGGAAAAATATTGATAATCAGAATGTTTTCTCACAGTATGAAGATTACAATCACCCGAATTCCACCGATTTTGAGCTATATGGTTGAACAAACAATGCTATCTTATATAGAACTGGGCTACTGGTTCATATAACTTATGGTAATAAGATCTACATGGGTTGCAGATTTGTTGACTGTTTAAAAAGTTTCTACTATTCATCCATACAGATCCTACCCACCTGACATCATGTCTTCATCCTGATATTTACTATGCTGCAAAGTCCTGAGATCCAGTCACACACACAACTGTGAAAAGTGTCTAAATTCCTGGGTGCCATGATACAATTTTAATTGCCCTGTGAGCAGTCAGGTTCCTAGGCTTTTTTTCACCCCTAAAAGTCAAGTACAGAGGCCAAGATGACACCCATGCTGGAGTTTGCTGACAATCCAACTTGTTCTGTGGGAAGCCATTTCCAAGATTTATAAAGGTACTAATGCTGAATTCTGAGGGTGGGGTGGGGAAGCTTCTTTCAGAAGAAAAGGAAGACTATTATTTTTCTTTGAACACGATACTGTTACATCTGATCTTGTAAAGGAAGGTGAGTCATTGGCCAATACACAGTGTGGGAGGGAGAACACGCCACAGAACACAGCCAGCCTTGAACAACTCTGCCCAAAAGCTAGTTTTCTATGATTTGAGCATAATTCAGGAGGACCTCTTAAAATGGCGGAGCATATGAAGATGCAAGAGATATGGGAAGGAGATGAAAAACAAAATAACACTCCTTTCTCTTCCCTTCTAGGTCTGATTATAAAATCTTCCAAAAACATTCTATCCCATTGCCCAATCTGGTGCTTATTAAACCAGAGATGTCTCACCCTTTTTACACGTGTCCCAGACAGTAGTTTGAAAAGATGCACACTCAGCGACTCCTCTGTCACTAAGAAAAAGTGAGAAAGCCTATTACCTCTCCTTCCTTATTTGTTTTCACACCTATTTTAAACCCTTGCCCTTTTAAAAGAGGAAGATGAACACATCTTGCCTAATAAAACATCTCAGGCCAAACCTAGGTGATATCAAGTCTACAAAACAAAAGAAAAACAAGAATACTGTGTCTTTGAAAACTGACATACCAAAGCTAGACTAGCATATCAGGGCGCCTACTTTTCTAATCTAACTTCACTACAAATTGACAAAATAGTTGTAATTTTAAGACATTATTCGCTCAGCTACATTTCCATCCCATCAGCAATACAGCACACCAGCTTATCAGAAATTGCTGAAGGACTTACAAGAAGATGCCTTTTAGCTGCACTCTAAAATATAATGTAAATGCTAAGTATTATTCTTTCGGTTATAATTTTAAGATAGCATTTAATTCTTAACTGGAGAAGTTTGATTATGAAGATCAGAATCTCATTCCCCAACATGTTCTCAATAGATTACATAAACACATACACACGGCCCCTGGCATTAGCACTGTTCTATTATCTTTATTTTCAAGAGTATTTTGTTAAAAAGAAAAGTGGATAATTCTGTGATTGAACACAATGGCAGCCAATCAGTCTTGTCCAGAGCCCTCACCACCAAGAAGGGGAAGAGACAGGACTTTGTGACTGATACCTGAGCTAATCCAACTAGGTACAGTGGTGCCTCGCTAGACGAAAATAATCCGTTCCACTGAAATAGCTGTTTAGCGAAATCATTGTCTAGTGAAAAGCATTTCCCCATTGGAATGCATTGAAGCCTGTTTAATGCGTTCCAATGGGGAAGAATCGTTGTCTAGCGAAGATCGGCCATAGGAAAGCCGCTTTGCGAACTGCCGACCAGCTGTTTAAATCGCTGTCTTGCGAAGCTTAGGTCCTGAAAACTCCTGTCTTGCGAGTGCGGAGGGAGGTGTCAAAGTCGTCATCTAGCAAAAATCAGTTTGCGAAGCAGCGACCAAACATTGTCCAGCGAAATTCCCCCATAGGAATCACTGTTTTGCGAATCGCTATAGCGATTGCAAAAAGTCAATGTCTAGCGAAAAAACTGTTATGCGGGGTAACTGTCTAGCGAGGCACCACTGTATGTGTAAATTCATCTAAAGCAGTAAGATTTCTCTTCCTTCAGACTTGACCAGATGCCTATAAGTGGCCTCAATTTGGGGTGTGTGTGTGTATATTTCCACAGTATATATACTGCTAAACCTTTTGCCTGTCAGCACACATCTCAAAAACAAGAGAAAGTTGAAGGCCATCCAGTGAATTTATGACTGAGCCAAAGTCCATACCAAGGGCTTCCAACTCATAACTCAAGTTCTTAACTAGTAAAACAAGTCAACTTTTTTTTTAGCATGTGGTGTGGATTCACAAAAAACAAAGAAACATGTGCCCTGACCAATACATAGGACATGGCGCTTTCCTTTCTTCTGGAAGTTCTTCCACCTATCCGTTTAAGTGAGCAGCTGGAAAGGCAGAGGAGAGTTTCAAAAGATCTAGCAATATGTGATGGTGGAGGAGGTTTTGTGTGTGTAAATCTTTGCATGCATATAGCAAACTCTAACGGTTTATGGCAAACAAATTAAATACTTGCTTTTCAATCTAAATCCTGGCGGGTATATACAGTGTTTCCTCAAAAATAAGACAGGGTCTTATATTAATTTTTGCTCCAAAAATGCATTAAGGCTTATTTTCAGGGGATGTTTTGTTTTCATATACAACAATCTACATTTATTCAAATACAGTCATGTCATCTTCTGGTTGCTGCACAATGGTGGAGGCGCAGGGTTTCACTTAACTTGGGTTTACTTTGGGGGGTAGGGCTTATATTATGAGCATCCCAAAAAAATCATACTACAGTCGGGTCTTGACTTGAGATCTTAATCCGTATTGGAAGGCGGTTCTCAAGTCAAAAAGTCTGTAAGTCGAGTCTCCATTGACCTACAGTGCATTGAAAACCGATTAATCCCGTAACAGGCCGTTTTTGTTCCATTTTGGTTTTTTTCTGGTCTAAGTCAAATCTCAGTCTGCAAGTCAAACCTAAATTTTGCGACCAGAGAAGTCCGTAACTCAAAAAGTCTGTAAGTCAAGCCGTCTGTAAGTCAAGGGTCCACTGTAGGGCTTATTTTCAGGTTAGGTCTTATTTTCGGGGAAACAGGGTAATAGTAAAAGACTAGGTTAACCTTTCTATTGTCTGCTAAAATAACTTCAATTTCTAGGTGTGCCAAGAATTTAAAATTAATCCTCCTCGTGAAAGTTCTCTGAGGTAGGTTTAAAACAAAGAATTGAAACTGTTCAAGGCCAACCAACAAGTTGTTAACAAAGCAATAATTTAGCTCTCACCAGAGTAATCTAGTTTCAGAACTTTTATTATTTAGACAACCTAGCATGAGCAAGTACAGGAAGTATAGGAAAGACTGTTTTGTGTTTATACACACATATACTGTATATGTTAAAAATAAATGAACTACTGCAGAGGAGGAAAAACAAATCTCCTACCAAAACTTTTAAGATTGAAATGGTGAGCAAATCCAAAATTCAAATCCTGGGTTTGGTCTCAAATGCTAGAAAACCTTTGAATGGATAATACACCAGGTGTGAGGAGAAGGTTCAAATCTTACACATTTGCTCTTAATCAAATTCAGGCCAAAAATTGGCCTCGCCGAAAGGGAGAATACATGTGCAGCAACTATGGGAAAAAATTGGGAGCATTATGTAGCCTCTAACCTTTACTGTACCTCTTAACTGTCCCAAGATTGGTTGTTGTGGGTTTTTCAGGCTCTTTGGCCATGTTCTGAAGGTTGTTCTTCCTGACTTTTCGCCAGAAGAACAACCTTCAGAACACAGCCAAAGAGCCCGAAAAACCCACAACAACTATCAGATCCCGGCCGTGAAAGCCTTTGAGAATACATTATCCCAAGATTCTCTACTACTGTTACATTAAAAAAAGAAGAAGTTTGGAACATATTTAGATTGGATCAAACATAGATAGCAGGAAAAAATCCCAGATTCCTGAAGCAACATCCTGCAAGAGGCTCCATTTATATACTGTATCAACTTCAACAATATAGCCACTGCTATCTCACTCAGATCAGTATAAGACACAGTCATAGGATTCATCCTAACCTCAATGTAGATACTACTATATCTAGGCTTAAACTAGCTGGAAAAAATCGAAATAGAACTGAATGAAGATCTGCAAGATTTTTAAAAATACAGACAGAATGTTATCCACATAATACATTTTTTACATATAGTTAGCAACCCAACCTTAGTAACTAGGAGCAACACCTGCTAAGACGTAGCTCTATAACAGAAATAGGTAGGTACAATGGAACATTTTTGATTTGATCTAGGAATGGCTAGATTTGAACACCCTAGCTTGCCCTATGCAGCTCACTGAGTGATCCTGGGCTGATGAAGTGTACAGTTCAGGTATGTCGCTCTGAATTTCCTGGAGGTGAGCTGGGTATTTAGAAGTCTTTAATAAGGTTGCTTGTAGACAGATTATCATCTCTTAATAGCTCATTTGAGAAATTATGCAATGTCCAAATCATCAAGTAACACTGACTAGTCTAAAACTACCAATATGGGGGTCAGGTAACATGGTCAGTATGTGCCACACAGACATACAGCTGTCTGCTGTCATTGATACTGACATTTCACTAGAACAGGTATAACATGCAACAATCAGTACAGCAGCAGTTAGGCAATGCTGCAGTATAGGAAAGATAACATTTCAAGCAGCTCTCTTTAAGCCTCCAGTCAGTTCTCAGAAAAAAAATTCAGTCAGCAAGCCAGGTTCCAATCATTCCTACAGCCTTAGCACAAACTAGACAATTGGCTTCAAAAGAACAAGGAAAGCCACAAATGCCAGAGCAACATGAACATATTATGCATGTTATCTCTTGTTTAATTCACTTCTGGTCCTCCAAGGAATTAAAACCATGGAGGAGAAAACCTCTGAGTAGTCCTGTTTACACATTACGGCACTAGGGCATTCATAACTACAGGATCACAGCACATGATCAGAGTGATATTGATGGCTTGTGTCCCGTTTAAAATGTCAAAGGATTAGTTGTTGGTGTATTAACTTCAAGTTTCATTTTTAAAAAAAGGCTTAAGTACTAAACTTTTCAAAAAGTACCAATACTTAAAAAAAAAACTTAGTACAGTCTCTATACCAGAGGTAGCAGATGCCAATGCTAGAGAAATGGTGCATGTAAAAAGAGAATAGGGAGATAACGTTTCATAAAAGTCTAGATTATGAGGTTATTTATTCATGAACCCTATGGCAAAAGACAGCTGAGGCTAAATGCTACAACTGAATTTTCAGATCTATACATTTACACCAGGCCTAGCTTCCAGTTTGGAAAACATTGGTCAGGAGGATGCTACATAAGGGGCACTGTGGGAAATCAATATGATACCTAGGTCAGTATGTCTGCTCCTGCTAAGGATCTGAGGTGAAAATAGTATCATATCAGCAGCCCCTTCTTTCCAAAGTGTTGGGACTCGGTTACAAAAGGATGCCATAAGCTGCTGCCAGTACTGATGCGCACAGTATTAAAGGTTTTGAAAGAAAAAGGAAGCTATGGTAATTGAAGAAGGGTGTAGATCCACTAAAATCTACTAAATAAAGTACAGTAGGCTTTGTCCCTCTACTAATTGTGACTATAGGTCTAAATGACATCACAACACTAGCAGTATGTCTCGTATATGCACAAAATTCAGAGCCAACTGTGAGTGGCGAAGAGTACATTCACACATTGTTAAAATCCAGACATCATGCCAATGATTCACAAAACTGGTAGATATAGCAGAGAAAGAATATTGTTAATGTTTATACATCCTCACCCCACAATCCCTTTGCTCATTTGTTTCAAGCACACATCATACACTAACACAGCATGAAGGACATTAAGGAGCATTTGTGTTGATGCTTCTGTAACTCAATGGGAGATAACACAAGTTTCTACCCTGTTTAATGAAAATTATATCACATCCTGTCATTGTTGAGGGTTTTATGAACCTTAGGTTTTTCAGTATCAAAAGTTAAGGATCACCAGCTTTTCCCAAGTTAGAGGAATCCTTTATTTTTCAATAAATGCAAACTTACTGAAAAAGTACCACCTTCCTCACCTTTGCTTTACTCTTTTGGACACCCCCCTCAAAATAACGCATTCCATAGTGTTTTGTGTATATTCCTAATTACTTTAAAAAATACTTATAACAAGTTGCTTCACCCATTTACAAAGGTAGAAGAATGAGGCAACAGAATCAACCAAAATAAGGAAACTTACAAACATTTTAAAACGAGTTTACCCATTTAATTCAGTAGTAATTTCTCAACACTTACTTAACAGTGGGAAACGTAGAGAAGGAAATAAATCACAACCTTAAAATTGGCTTTTTAAATATTATGCCACACACTTTCCCTCCTCTCCCAACACTTATTTCGCTTTCCTGTTCCAAATTAACTTGCCCCCCCATTGAATGGAGAAAACACAGCCGTCGTTGACCCTTCAACGGCTTTCTGCACGCCCCTACCACACGTTCACACGTACGCACTTCGTGCCAAGAGTGAGAAAAGGGCACGAGCATGCCCTCTCCTCCTGTTTCCCCCCCCCAGCTTCTTCACAAAGTCCCACAGCTGCCTCCCCCACTTATTTCCTACCTTCGTTCCCCGTCCCGGCTCTCCTAACTAAACGGTCACCCTCCCTACAACCCCCTTCTAGTAACCGCCTATTAACTGGAAACTACCCTGAGCCTTAGCTCCGCCTTCCCTCAAAAATCCCCTGGCCCCGCCCCTACAGGACTGCTGCCAATAGGGGTCCGCGGTGCCGCGTTCTAACCCCGCCTCTCTTCTTCTTTCCACCCGGCTTGGGTGGCTCACTCGCGAGCCTTTTCCCGCTTCCCACAGTGCGTGGATGGGGAAGCTGAACCGCAGGCCCGTCTCTGACGTCCTGCCCCACCCTCCCTTCCGCCCCCATTAGAACCTCGCCGGGGCCCGTGAAGGGCGGGGCCCGTGTTCTAGGGGGAGTTCCAAGAATAGGAAACGATGGGCCAATGCCTTTCGTTATTCAACAGGGCCTGTCTGTGTCGTGTGCGTATTTACTCTAGAGTCCAGTCAGATGTGTTCTCAAGTGAATGTGCAGGGTTGTGCGGCTAAAGTTACTATTACTCGTGTGTTGCAGTTCACTACAAACAAGTAAAAGTTTGGAAAAGTTACTTTTGTCAACTGCAACTCTGAAAAAGTTGGGGGATTCTGGGAATGGTAGTTTGGAAAGTAAGGTTTACCAACGCTGTTGGCCACCCACGGTCTCCAACTCGCCTTCCCTTTATTTTCACGCATTCTTGTGCACTCTCTGGTTACCTTTAGGATGTACTATGCATACACACTTGCAGTGTAAATTCTGCTTACTCAGAAGAAAGCTCATTGGGTTTAGTGCAACCTGAGACAAGACTACAGACTTATAAATTCCTGGGACGCTGGTTTTACAAAGATTCCTTTGTTCCAGAGAAACCTGGGAACTAGTTTATGAGAACATGGGTAGCAGGCTTCTTTTAGTAAAAGATTTGCTCAAGGCAATTCAACTTCATTTCGTAGGGAGTCCCAGCCCTGCAGTGTTTACCTCAGCAAATGCATAGTATGAAGGGGGAAATGCATATCCAAGCATGCAGTAGTTCTACTCCTGCTGGACACAACCTCTGTTTATGGACACACAGGTCTCCTTTGTACTTTCAGAATTTACCACCCCACTTCATTTGAGCTTCTGTGCACATTATAAAATGCTTCTCGATGGACTTCAGCAAGCAGGTTTTTGAATGTGAATCTTTTCTGTCTCAGTCCAGAACTTTCCCACCTATACAAGACGGACATGCATGAAGTATCTTGCTTGGGATGGGGTTAGTAAATGATTTTTAGGTTTGCATCATACTAATTGCAGGAAGAGAAGACCAGTTGTGAGATGGAATGCCTCCCTTACGGAAGCCACAGGCTTGAGTTTACAAGAGCTGAGCGGGGCTGTTGAGGATAGGACATTTTGGAGATTAATCATTCATAGGGTCTGCATAAGCCAGAGGCGACTTGACAGCATATAACAACATCATTTGCTCCTTCGATACGGCAAAACACACACATAAGGTATACTATGTGTTGCCTATTTTCTTATTTCCCATAATCTTTCAAGGATATTTTTAACTCAAGTTATCTAACATGAATCTGAAGGAAAACATTAAGACTTTGCCTAGGTCAACATTTTTGTGTAAAGAAACTGCAAGATGGATGTTGGAGGCCTGTGGCTCTCCAGATGTTCCTGAATGACAACTGTCATTCCTGACCATTGTCCATGCTGGCTTAGGATGATGGGTGTTGTAGTCCGCCATATCTGAAAGGCAACAGGTTGGGAAACCTGGCACAGCCTACAACAGAGTGCAAATGACTGCAGAGCCAGTCAAGAATATTGCAGTAGAAAACCGTGGCAGCTCTCACCTGTGGTCCCACGTAGTTTGATGCTTTCCCTTTTCAGACTGAAAGTACTGTACTCAATTTGCACTTTTCGTATGGAAATCAACAAGTTAGTGAGGTAAGCAAGTCACCCAAGTACGTGTGCCTTTTTGTTAAGAAGGAAACAATGTGTCGCCTTATAGTGTGTGCCTAAAGAAGAATTCAGAGTATTTAGCCAAAATAAAAAGCAAACGGTTGTTTACTTTTTGGTAGCTCAGGCATGGCTAATGGTCCATGGTGAAAGAAAGGTATTGGTTAAGTCATTTCTTAAAAGACGGAGACAAGGGGAGTCTAAAGAAAGATCAGTGTTGCTTTTCTTCTGTGAGTGACACTGGCTCCCCGGGAGAGAGGAAATGGAAAAAATTATCAACCCTGATGCTCCTGGCATACGGTGTTTTAGGAAACTCTGAGAAGTTCCGTCACAGAGTTAGACACCACATTCATACCGTTTTGCTAGTAGTTTTTGTCATGTTGGGTGTGTTTTTCTTCCTAGCTTATTTTAGCTGCTTGCCAATTTGGTTTTTCTACCATTTCCCAATTCCTGTTTTGGTGAACACATTAATGTTCACCAAAACATTAATCTGCGCTTTCATTGTTTCTTTCTTTCATTCCAAAATCACTTGACTGGTTCTCTTTATTTTAACTGTTATGTCTAGTTTGACTCTTAGCAGCCATCACACAACATTAAACACAACAAAGCCCACTGGAGGGAAAAATGCCAGAATCCTATTCAGGGATTTGCACCAGCACAAGTGAAACTACATAAATTACAGCACCCAGCTGTTGCTAATTAATGAGTTGCCGCTTTCATTTCTGGTTGCACACCCTGACAAGATATGCTAAGAAATGTGAGTGGCAAGTCATTAATTACTAGCAATTTGCTGGCACAGTTTACACAGCTATAGTTATGCTGGTGTAAATCCCTGATAGGTTTTTGGTAGTTCAAACAGACTTCACCTTGTATTAGATTACAGCATTTTTTGTAAGATCTGTATGCATGCCAAGCAAAAGAGCAAGCAGCAATAGTTCATGAAGCAATATAAATTCTCTGATAAGCAAACAGTGGCCAAAATCCAATTGCTGGTTCCCAGCCAAACTTGACCTACTGAATAAACAGGTTTACTCTTACTGGCAGTATAAACTGGATTCAGGCCTATGTCTTTGGAGCATCCAAAATCCCTGTGGGTCATGAGAAACAACACTAGCAACAGTTAGTCCTACCTGGTTGAAGAAGAAGAAGACTACCTCTGAAGCCCTTTATTATTTTTGATTTGATAATCCATCAGTTTGTGGCTTTTATTATACTGTGTTATATCTGTGTATAAAAACCCATAACCAGTGTTCGGTATAATACTGCCTAGCTACTAGGGAGCCGTAAATGTTTTTCTTTCCAACTTACCTATTCTGCCTGAGAATAAATAGCTGGTTCTTCCCGTCTCTTTCACATACCTTCTATCTCCAAATCATTTAAGGAGAAAAGACAAGCTGAGACAGAGTCTTATCCATATCCGCCTTCCCACACTCCACCCATTTGTTTCATCACCTGCTTTTAACACCTATCATGTCTTTTACATCATAATTGCCAACTTGCCTATCTCACAGACAAATGACTGGATCACCACACAGACCTTCAATACAGAGGAGTTGATGACCCTTTAGATTAAAAGCTGCAGAAAGCTAGTAGGGCTTAGGTCTGTGGTCTCCATTTGGGAGTATATGCTAAGCTGACAAGTCCATCATCTAGCAATGCGACTTGCTGGTTACCTCTGAAATCTAGTAGCAAGGAGAGAAGGGCATCCACCAGTTGCCCATCCATCAGCAGTTTGTGCTGGTTCATTGGTCAGCCCAAGCTCTGTTCTGTGGTGCCTACATAGTTCCAAGCCCCGCCCCTTCCAGTTGGTGCCCATTCAGAGGCAACACCCAGAGGAGGCGGAGCAGGGAGGCTGGGGCACTGCTTCCAAGTGGGCACCTGTTGGAGGAGGCAGGGCTCAGTATCACAGAACACCCGCTGGACCGACCGCCGAACTGGCATCAACCACTGAATCAGTGGTTCATGCCCATTTCTGGTAGCAAGTCAGTAGGCCCATTGATTCAGTGGAACTTGCATAAGGGTTGACTCACTAAATCCCCACTGATTCAATTAGCCTAATTGAAATTCACCACTTGATTTGAGTCATTGTTTCACTCTTTTACATTGTTTAATATCTAAAACTACTGTAAATGCAGATGCATTGCATAGCTATCTAATGCTTTCATCCACTAAGGTGGATTGTATCATAATAGGATTTGTGCATGAAAAAGAAAGAGATCAGCATTCTGCATCATCTCTACATATCAGAGGGAGGTCCAAAATCAGAGCTGGCTTAAAAGATGGAGACATACTCTCGGTGTTGAGATAAAAAGGGAGTGAAGATAAGATTGCTGACACAGTGTTAATGGTATAATCTACAGAAATCTAAGTTTATAATAAGAAGCTATATTCGGTATAAATCTAACCCTGATTCCATTTAGAATAGACCCTTTGAATCAATCACTGAGTGGCAAGCCAATATTTATATAAATTCCATTTATTTAACAGTTGACACAACTAATTTGATTCATGTGGGAGCCCCTAAAATTCTAGAAACTGTTTGGATGCTAAATGCAGAACGTCCTGCACACATTTCCTTCCATCTGGCAACTTAACAGGTATGTTTCTTTCCTAATGCCCAGTCTAATATCATTTGCCCTAGATAAAAATGTGTTAATAGGGCTTTACTTTAAGACAGAGGTCCTCAACCCCCAGTTCACAGCCTGGTGCCAATTTGTGGCCTGAGAGAGACCTCCCCCCCACCGCACGCACTCCCCCCCACAGCCCCTTTGCTCGTATGTGCGCACCTGTGCGAGCTCCCCCATCCCTTTGCGCATGTGCATGAGTGCCCCCGAGTGCCACCCGCCCTTTGTGCATTCGCATGATTGTGTGCACGGCCGTACCACCACTGCACCAGCCCTTCACGCATGCGCACGAGCGCGTGTCCGCTCACACAAGCACCCTCCTGCTCCTTTGTGCATGTGCATGAGCACAGGGGGTGCCTCGCCTTCCCAAACCAGTCCACGGGGTTAAAAAGGTTGGGGACCACAGCTTTAAATGGTGTCACCATGTCCTGTAAGAACAACAAATACCGCAAGCACTATGTGCACATATTGGTAACAGAACAACTGCTACAAGGAATCGTCCGCTCACACAAGCACCCTCCTGGTCCTTTGTGCATGTGCATGAGCACAGGGGGTGCCTCGCCTTCCCAAACCAGTCCACGGGGTTAAAAAGGTTGGGGACCACAGCTTTAAATGGTGTCACCATGTCCTGTAAGAACAACAAATACCGCAAGCACTATGTGCACATATTGGTAACAGAACAACTGCTACAAGGAATTATGGGGCTGTGTCCACCTAAAGTACAAATTATTCAAGACACTGTACGTGTTATGGTTGGGCCTTGCCTTCACTAGATATGTTTGGGGAGGCCAGCAATGACATAGCTACATTTACAGAAACCTCATAGGAACCCTCCTCCCAAATTAAATCAGGGTTGAAGTACTCTCTATACTATTCAGTCAACGAAAGTAGTCCTACAAAACTATTATGCACCCCGCTATGAGGCAAATAGCAACGGAGGAATATTTCTTAAGACGGTGGTCCCCAACCTTTTCCAAATCGCAGACTGGTTGAGGGGGTGAGGTCCCTGCCCACGGGGCACCCCCACGCTCATGGGGGCGTGGTGTACTTGCATACATGGGTGTGGGTCCACTCGCACGCATGCACGGATGGGCAGGGCATGCTCGCAGATTTGCAGGGTGCATTTGTGCGCATGTGTGGATGGGTGGGGCACCTGTGCGTGCATGGGATCGTGCGTGGGGGGAGTGCGTGCAGGGGCATGGGAGATCTCCACGACCCAGTCTTGCCAAGGCCATGGCCTGCTACGGGTTGCGGATTGAGGGTTGGGGACCCCTGCCTTAGGGGAAATTGATGAAATTAATTGTTTTCATGGCAAGTCAAGATGCTAAAAACAACAACAAAGCACTCTCACTCACACACATACACATGTGCACAAACACAAATCTTGTTCACAGATGTCTGGAACAATATCTAGTTTGTCCCCAAGACATAGTTAAGGAACTGTCACCCTCTCCAGACTGTGTTGGTGAAGCCGCATATATCAACATCACGATACAGGTGAACTCTTTCTAAAGGTTGAAAAGGAAAAAAAAACAGACAAGCAGGAATTGCTTTACGAATAATATTGTGTTCTTAGAGAGCTTTTCTCAACTCTCTTAGTCTGCTGCTGAGAAAATAACAGTTTTGTGGAACACCATTTTGTGTACGCTTTCAGAGATGGCCAACCACTTCTTGAGACATATTAAGTACTATTGCAGCATTTTCAAAGTATGCATCCTGGCAACAAGATAACATAATGTGGATGTTGCTCTTGTTTTTTTCAGTCAATTAATCTCATTAATGAGAGCATATGTCAATTTAAGAATATACAATTAAAGATGTATAAAGAGGGCCAACTTTTCATAAGATGATCATCAGAGCTGTTAAATACCACTTTCTCAGAGTGGTATTTGTTCTTTTAAAATATTTGTATACTTATTGTTTTTAGCTTTAATATTGTCTTTTAATTATGTAAGCTGCCTTTCTATACTCATTGTCCTTAGCTTTAAATATTGTCTTTCAATGATGTAAGCCACTTTGGGTTCTTTTTAAGGAGAAAGGTGGGCTGAAAATATTGCCGGTAAATAAATTTCAAATGCTGCAGAGAAAATTACATTCTTAGCCACTCGCAAACCTTTCTGTCCCTTCTAATTTCGGATTTTGTGAACAAGAGATTTCATTGCAAAAGCACAATCCAGCAGTTAAATGTCCGAGTTGTTTTCCTTCTCACATCCGACCACCTCAGTCCAAGACTGGTACACAACTCAACATGCTATATTTTGCTTTTATTCAGTAATGGCGTGAAAATCTGGATTTGGAGACCAAAATCCAGTTGAGAACCAAGTACAGTGGTACCTCGCAACACAATTACCCCTCAAAACAATGAATCCGCATGATAACAAGGTTTTGTGACCGCCATTTTGGTTCGCAAAACAGTGATTCCTATGGGGGAATTTCGCTGGACAACGATTTGGTCCGTGCTTCGCGCACCATTTTTTCGCAAGACAATTATTTTTGCAGCTGATCATCGGCTTCGCAAAATGGCTTCCCTAGGGGCGATCTTCGCAAAACGGGTGTTTTCGATCCTGTTTTTCGCAAGACAACTAATTAAAACAGCTGATCAGCGCTTTGCAAAGCGGCTTCCCTATGGGCAATTTTCGCTGGACGACGACGATTTTTCCCCATTGGAACGCATTAAATGGGTTTCAATGCATTCCAATCAGGAAACGCTTTTCGCAAGACTATGTTTTCACAAGACAGCGATTTCAATGGCATGAATTAACATTGTCTTGCGGGGCACCACTGTAATGTGTATGTGGTCTTCTTGAATTTATGGCTGGGATTCAAGAGACATCTGAGAGAGGAGTTAGTGCTCTTTTAATATATAATCTCTGTTGCCAAAAACACCTAGCCTTACTTTTGGGCCTGAACACACATCACATGGGGGTGCTGCAGAATTATTTTAAAAATTGCTAGAAATTTTAATTGCAGGTTGGTGATATTTTAGGGTCACCAGATCCCAGGGTGTTGACTGAAATCTTAGGAAATGATTATACTTCTTTGATTTTGTTGTCTGAAACAACCATGCTAGAAGTTGGCACCAGATTAGTTCAGTGTGTTGGGTATTTGATGGAACTAGAGATCAGGAGTTCAATTCCTTACTGTGCCTCCTGGGAAGAGAGCCAGCCTGTGTAGCCTTGGGCAAGCTGCACAGTCCCAAGATGCCCCCAGTAGAAAGGAATGGTAAACCACTTCTGAATAGTCTATACCTAAGAAACCCTGGGACCTGGTGGTGCTGTGGGTTAAACCGCAGAAGCCTCTGTGCTGCAAGGTCAGAAGACCAGCTGTCGTAAGATCACATCCACATGACAGAGTGATCTCCCATCGCTTGTCCCAGCTCCTGCCAATGTAGCAGTTCAAAAGCATGTAAATGCAAGTAAATAAATAGGTACCACCTCGGTGGGAAGGTAACAGAGTTCCGTGTCTACTCACACTGGCCACGCGACCACGGAAAATGTCTACGGGCAAACGCTGGCTCTACGGCTTGGAGATGGGGATGAGCATCGTGCCCTAGAGTCGGACACGACTGGACTAAATGTCAAGGGGAACCTTTACCTTTACTTTAAGAAACCCTGGAAAGGGTTGGTGAGAAAGAGGGCATAAGAACACCCAGTCCTACCTGAGTGCTGTCCCCTCTTCCCTGGAAATGGGGAAGAAAAAACAACCCACAGAGACACAAGCTGTGGGGAGGGTGAAAGAAGACATAGAAAAGCCACCTGTCAGGAAGACAGAGGAAACCAAGGAAGGACTAGGAAAGAGAGAAGGTGAGGAGGGAAAAAGAGTGTGACAGTCATGGGGGAGAAGAGCAGAAAAAGGCAGGAATTAAGAAAGAGAAAAAAGCGGGGCAAAGAGATGAAGAGGAGATTGTATATAAGGGGACAAGTACACGGGGGGGGGGAGGTAGAAGGAGGAGTGGTCAAGGCACAAAAGGATTAAAAAGGTATTGCCAGAAGGATGGAAACACGTATGGATAGAAAACCCATGGACCCATAAGTGGGGGAAGTTAATGATTCCTGTTGAAGAGACATAAGTCATGTCCCCCTAGAAACCTTTCTTATTGGGGCGGGGGAAGGAAGAGCAGAGAGTGGAGTCGAAAGATAAGAGAGGAGCGAGCTAGGATAAAAAGGGGGGGAAAATGAGAAGCAGCCATATGGAGAGCTCAGTCATCCTACACGAGACTCGGTCATCCTACACAAGACGGTGGGGAATGGTGTCCTCAGAGAAAGAGAAGGATGGGGAGAAGAAACACTGGCCTTTGTTGCCTCTGCCACAACAGGGAGAGCCCTATGAACCCATAGACTTTAAAGATGGGGCTCCCAGAGAGCTGGGGACTTGATTTCTGTCAAGTTTTGCATTTCCTCTCCTTTGTGAGAGGAAAAGAAAGTTGGCACTTTTGATGTAAATGGTTCTTTAACTATTCCACAAGTAAAGGCTGAATGTTTGAAACCAGAACTGTGTCGGCTGGGGAACGTTGGGGTAAGGGGGTGAAACAAGAACCCTCACAGGATTGTCCTAAGTCAACTATACAAAAGGAAGGAGATGATAGGAGAGCCCCAACTGTGAAGTAGAAATCAGAGCAAAAGCCATCGTATATTAAAACTGTAAGAACTGCAAAGCAAAGCTGGAGACCAGTTGTCACACCCTAAAATATCCTGTTTGTAGAAACAAACATCCGATTTTTGTATCCAGAACTGAGTTGCTTCATCATTGCTCCAAATCATGTACACGCTACTGTTATGACACCTCTGAATGTGCAACCTTTTGTTTTTTTTCTGTGCTCGTTCTTTAAATAGCCAGCAGTTTGTCCTGCAGTTTCTGTTGGTCACCCATTCCTTCCAGGCTGGTCAAAGGCTCCATCTTGGGCTTCCCCTTTCCTTTGTAAGAACTACTCATTATAGGACCATCTCTTGAGTTTTAGCCATCAGTGTTTGGAGGAAGCAACCCTCCCTACTCATGGGAGCGGGCACTGTCGTAAGGAACAGACAGTGAAATGTATGTGCAGGAGATGGGGACAAAGATGAACCAGGAGCGACTGTTATCTACTAGCAAATAATGCAAATTTGACAGAAATGCCATATGGCAGTGCTGTGCCAGGTTTTGTGGAAATAAGCCCTATAGAACTCAATGGGATTTCTTTGAAGTAGACATATGTAGTTTTTTGTTCTAAGTTTCCTTTAAAGAAATCCAAATCTGGGAAATGTCTTGACTTATCCAATATGCAGGGACGCAGGGAATGTGTGTTAATGGAATGATTTTCATATAGGAACATAGAGGTAATAAAAAAGCATGCAATAAAGGACATGCTAGAGATTAAGAAAGTTATGTTTGGTGTGGAGAAGACATGGGCTCTTAGCAAAACATTTGAGGGAAATGCTTTAAGTGGCTTTTCAGTTGCTATCTTTCATATAGGAACATAGAGGTAATAAAAAAAGCATGCAATAAAGGACATGCTAGAGATTAAGAAAGTTATGTTTGGTGTGGAGAAGACATGGGCTCTTAGCAAAACATTTGAGGGAAATGCTTTAAGTGGCTTTTCAGTTGCTATCTGTTCTGGTTCTTCTGCTCCGTTTCCCTGCCTTTCTTGTTTTTGTTCACTTTAGGTATTATTCTGCATTACTATTATTGTAGTTATTGAACCATTAGCTGTTCATGTTTTAGAATGAAAAATTGTATGTATGTAAAGAATTATATAAATTATATAAAAAATTATATATATAGATGGCACAGTTCCATTTGTTGGTGCATTTTGGATATTGAAGCATGCCTTTTTACTAGATGTCTAACAGTGTCTCTGTCCTGTGAAGCTTTTATCCATTTCTAATGTTTGGAATAACTTCAAAGGAAGCTACCGTATCAAGAAGAATTTTTAATTAGTGAGACCTAATAATTTACCAAGTTAGATCACTTAGAACAACAAAGGGTCCTGTAGCTCTTAAGGACTCAAACATTAATTAGGTCACAAGCCTCTGTGAACACTTTCAGTGCGGATCATGAAAGGTTAAAATGCGTTCATCAGAACAATTGACAAAGAGATAAAAGTGAGCAACAGAAGGAGCTGGCTGGAACCAGAATTAGTTTAGAGAAGTCAGAAGTTATTTGGGCTGAGATAATTTTTTTTTAAAAAAAATTGTATATAAAGCCATAATACTGTGAAATATTTACAACTAGAATATAAAAGTTCCCTGCAGATTGGCATCCTTTACTCAGGCCTTAGCTAATGCAAGTTCACTTCCAGATTTGAAAAAGAAAAATCCCATCCACCCATTGCAACATTAAAGATCCCACATCCCACTCACAACACCCTCTAGCAACAGACAGGATCTTGCTGGAGACTTCAAGGAGCAGCAGTTCTCTTTTTCCACTATTTTTTAAAAGGATCTGAGACTTATCAGTGAGCCGCAGAAACAAGCAAGGACCCCATGAAATCCAAGGATGGTACATTTTTCCACATGTTGAAGAATCAGGAATGGGGACTCGTCATGGGACTCACTGTCAAGTCAGACTTAAGTCAAACCAGTAACTCGTCTCAGACTCAATTAGGGGTCCCCCCCTCCAGTGATTTGGACCTGACTTGAGACTCAGAACCCATCCACCCGCCTCCCTTTTTATTCTGGGGGAAAAAAAGCTTATTTTGAATAGGCACTTGGGGACTGAGACTTGGTATCACAGACTCAGAATCGGACTTGGTAACAAAGACTTGCCAACATCCCTGTGAGGCACATCTTAAATTTTTAAACCAAAGCAATTGTGTGTGTGTGTGTGTGGGGATAACGCAAAATGGTTCTTAGTCCAATTTTATGCAATGTCCATTTAATGAGCAGTCCAAAACCATTCTGCTGAAGGTGGGTGCCCCATCAGCCTAGAGCCTGGGATTAAGAAGAAAATGTGCAGATCTGGGACTGCTGTTACCTAAAGAGGGAGCGTATGCCATGATTAAGCAGTGGCAAAGCAGGCCCTGCTCCGAACCCTGAGCCACCAGCCTGAGTTAGAGAACTTGGGATAGTTTTGCTGCAGGCAGGCAACTTACTCTGGAAAGCCTTACATTTAACATCTGGTCTTGTTTTTAAAATACCTTGGTGACTTCAATATACAGTATACACAACAGGCTGGCCTTGTAGATTATCATCAAGAGACCAGCTTCTTGAAAATGACCGAGCTGTGTGTTACTCACAAAGGAAATCATGCTGGGCAAAGCAGCAAAGATAAGCTTTGTACGTTCACTCAGGTGGTTACTCAGGCAACCCACAAATCATTCACGTTGGAGTATTTGCACATAAGCCAGCTAGGTCTCAAATTAGGTAACTGTACTGTCTCGCTTTAAACTTCAAAGTACTGTGGTGAAAAAGAGGGAGCGAGTTCAAAACCACCACCTCTCAAAGTCTAAGACATGTGAAGTATCTGTCCCTCATCTTGTGTCTCACAGCCTGAGGCTGTTACTTTAGTTCTGGAAGTCCGGAGTTGAGATGTAGGTTATATTAAACCACCATTCATTACCATCAGGTAACTGTGCTCATTTATGACCCTGAGTTAATTACCTTTTATTAAGAAGTGTTCTGCATTCTTTCCGTTTTATCCTACTTAAAGTTTTCTCCAGGAGCCCCTTTGGGGGTGAACTTAAGTTTAAAATCTTGCTGTTACTTGTCAGTTACCACAGGAATGCAAATTGTCTTTCCGGGACAGTGTGTGAAATGGTGAACATTACCGGCATATCTGGCTTTATACCTTGTCTGTAAACAGTTGTCAGCTTAAGGACTACTAACTTTTCACAACACTTGGTGTTGTTTGGTGCTTGAGAAATTGTGTAGTTTGAAACAGAACATTTAAATCAGAAATAGTTGATCTCAGTGGATCTCCAGTCCCACAACCATATTGATTGATTGATTGATTGATTGATTGATTGATTGATTGATTGATTGATTGATTGATTGATTGATTGATTGATTGATTGATTGATTGATTGATTGATTGATGCACTACTCCCGAAACCAGCAAAATCAGGGAGCTGGACAGGGGACAGATTGTATTTGTCTTCCGTGTGGAAGGGATTGTCACTCTCGAATGGGCTTTCTTAGCCACACTAGACGCTGTTCCAAATCCTCTCAGAGTACATCACCATAGTCTCTCGAGACCGAAGGATGCCTACTCTGGGTGGTTAACAGTCAGATGAAAGCAAATACATTAATATATCCATAAAAATAAGCAATAAACAAAAAGGATACAGTAATCAAATCAAATCAAAACATCATGAGACAAACAGACTAAGAGTATCAAACAATAATTGAATGGGCAGCACAGCTAATTCATGTGAGGATACCCTTGAAAGCCCTAAGATAAAATTGTATCTGCTCTGACCCACAGGATAGAGGCTCCAAACTTAAGGATCTACCAAATGCATCCCTCAGACTACAGTACCCACACCATATGATTAAGGAACAAATCAACAAAGCAAGAAGCATACCCAGAAGTAAGAGAGACCCAGATGACAAAATACATTTGTCACTTACTGTCCACAACTGAGACCACTCACAAACATCTTAAGAATGATCTCCAGCCCCTCCTGAACACTTCACTCTCCAAAGCTCTTGGTGGGACACCCGTACTTGCCTATAGACAACCTCCCCTCCCGCAACCTCAGGCAAATATTAACACACAATGGACCACAAAACAGTAACACAGACGGGGACTAAACCCTGCCACAGACCCAGAGGCCAACTCTACCCGCACATCTATTCTGGCAACACAGTCACGGGACCTAACAATGCTACACACAGTATCAAAGGCACCTTCACTTGTGATCTGTGCCATTTTTCCAATAATGCCCTTCTGCACTCTACATAAGAAAAACAGAAGAATCTCTGTGGAAATGAATCAATGGTCACTAATCAGACATCAGAAACGACAACACATACAAACCTGTCTCCAACTGTTTTAATCTACCAGGACACTTTGAAGAAGATATGAAGATTGCTGTTTTAGAACAGAAGCATTGCAAATCAAGAATACAGAGGGAACCAGCTCAGATAAAATTTATACGCATGATGGACACCCATATAAATGGATTGAATATAAGCCTAGGTTTCTGAAGTCATTACCAAATGTAATACTTATGCTGTTATATACTGTTCTTTTCACAGCTACCAAGCCCATCTTTCATCACAGGGCTCAAAGGTAAAAACTGTCAATATTCCTTATATTAACACACATGGTTCCTTTGCTATCTTCTTCACTTTTATATACATTTCTTCCCCCCCATCCTCCTGAGTTGTGAACTAAGTTTTCACCAGCTCCATCCCACCCTTTTCTGCTCATACTTTATCTGTCTCCTGTTTCCTGTAGGAATGTTCACAATAAAAGTTAACACCAAACATAGGCCATACATTACTGCATGTGAAATATAACCACACACCCAAGACCCTTAGAGCCAATGAATATTGCAAATGTTTTACTTGTGAATTTGGTATTTCATTCAACACGTCTTGTTCCCATATGTCTGACAAAGTGGACTTACTTGTCCATGAAAGCTCAAATTAAAAGAGTTCGTCTTTAAGGTGCCACCTGTTTCTGTCTTACTTCGTTTCGTTTTGATTCTTTGGATTTTGCCTGATACGCTTACGCAGACCAACACAGCTACCTCTTCTAAAACTACATCTGTAAAGAGCACCATCTTAAGCAACTTCTTAAAGATTTAACCTGCAGTCTATCTATTTCAGTCCTTGTGTCTGATTACTATCCAGAAAAATCCGTACCAAAATAAATCTGTCACTCTTTAAAGAGCCAGTATACTTTTGCTTCCTGTTTTATTTATTATTTATTTCTTACATTTGTGTCCCGCCCTCCCTTCCCCGAGCTCAAGGTGATGTGAAGAGCTCTCCTCCCACCTGCTCCTCTTTATCCCCACAACAGTCCTGTGAGGTAGTTGAGACTGAGAAAGTGTGGTGGCCCAGGGTCACTTCAGTTTTTGAGGAGGCATTCAGACCTGGATCTCCTGAGTCCTATTCCAACAGTCTAACCACAACATCACACTAGCTCTCTTTTTGCTGTGCTTTTGTAATGCATGCTAAAACAGGCTTACAGGCTTTACTTTAAACATGCCCAGCCCATGCTTGTGTGCATGGGCACAAAGTGAGACTTCTCCTCCTTAGTTCATTGCAGGGATTCTACCTTTTCTCTGAAATATTCTTCATTTCCAGCTTGCTTTGTTCTTCAGTACCAATATCAGGATGGGCTTAAGCCATTCCTATGGATATTTGATGGCTGTTCTCTCAGCCTGGACTTTGGGTAGGGTCACACTTCATTCTTCCATCACAGCAGACAATGCTACATATTTTCCCTCTCATCAGTCATCCTCAGAGCTGGAAACTTACTTTGTACCTTTTAGGCTGCAGAAGTACAAATTTGTTAATAGAATAACCCAGTCAAGTCTGATATATGAAGCAATAGGGTTGGGCCGTACTCATTAATCAACTCGCTATCTGGTAGTGAAAGCCTCTCATATTTTGCTCCTAAACCTTTCCCAATCATCAGATCTACTTGATAAAAAGCTGAAAGATAGTTTATAGATAGACGTGAGTCTGTTTCAAGCCTAAAGACCTAATATTCTCTTCAAGGCCCTTGAGACATTAGGGAAATGATGCAACCAAGCTGAGAAATGAGACACCGATCCTCCTTGAATCTAGATAAATAGCACTATTATTATTGCTGTCACGAGAGTGTAGCAGTTATTTTGTGCTGGCAGAAGAAAGCAACGTTCTGTAAGGGAATTCTAAAAATGGGGGAAGCCCAAACAAAAAAAATTAGAACTTTTAAACTGTGCTTTGGATGACACCCAAATTTCTCACATTTATAGCAACCAGTCTGCTCTTTTGGTCTGTGCCAAATTTGGGGAAGTTTAAGCAAATTATGATTTTTTTAAAAAAAAGTAAAACTATCTCCCCCATTCAGAAACAGACAACCCTAAATGTCCCCAGATTTAAATCACATCACATAAATTGAAAAGACCAGTCTTGAAAGACAATGGTTGGCCCACCTGCTTTTTAAAAAAAAAATTGGAAAGAATTCAGGCTTCAGGGTCTGAGATACTGATCCTCAAAAAAGACCTTTTTGAAAAGGGAAAAACAGCTGCTTTTTAAATAAGACAGAGCATCCATAGTATAGGCTACCCAGCTGGAGTTTCATGAAATGAAACATTGTGTACATTCATAGGTGTGGGAGGGAGAAGTCATAGAAACAGACTGAAAGGGCAGGTTTTCTTAAAAGAGAGGAAAACAAGACTTTGCTTTAAAGAAAGTAAAGGGGATATTTTTGCTACATATCTTCAGTAAACATTATCTCAGTATTCTGGAGACCAAATAGTCTTCTAAATAGATTTTCAAAGAGGAAATCAAGGTCTGGGGCAATCTGAACCTTTGGCCCAGCTATTACGATTTACAAAGAGACACCAAGCAGGAAAATCCAAGAACCTGATTCCTTTTTTCAGTAATTAGCCACTTCTTACCCAGACACAAAGCAATTGTCAGGGCTGTTCTTCAACAAGTTATCTAGGTATCAAAATGCCCCCCCCCAAAAAATGGCAGTTAACACAAGAGGATATCCTGTTGGCAAGTGGTTGCCAACCTTGACCAACTTAGGTGTTCTTGGACTGCAGTTCCCGAGAGCTTTTACTACCAGCAGTGCTGGCTGGGATTTCTGAGAGTTGCAGTCCAAGAACACCTAAGTTGGCCAAGGTTGGGAACCAGTGCTGTAGACCACTGGTTCTTAACCTTGGGTTACTCCGGAGTTTTGGACTGCAACTCCCAGAAGCCTTCACCACCAGCTGTGCTGACTGGGGTTTCTGGGAGTTGCAGTTCAAAAGCATCTGAGTAACAAAGGTTAAGAAGCACTGCTGTAGACCATCTTGACTGCTGACATGGGTGTCATCAACATTCAGATTGCCCTTTGCTATATAAAGTTTAGCATCCCTTTTCCTGCTGGCAAAATATTATGCAGCAATATTGGACCATTTCCTGGCGTTTTAAATCATGGGTATGGAAAGGGGTGGTTTTTTAAAAAAAAGAATTTAAACTCTCATAGGACAAGAGTCAGCATGATACAGTCCTCCAGTTGTTGTTGGACCACAACTCCCAGCATTCCCCATTATTGACTAGGCTGGCTACAGCCAATGAGATCTGCAAGTCAACAATATCAGGAGGGCAGCACTTTGCCCAATCCTGTCCTAGGGTTGAAGAAAAATCAGTGTGGAAAATGTGTCTTGTGTTCACATCTTGGGTCAGCAGGGAGATCAAGTCTTTGTTTGTTTTTGCTCCCTGGGCATACCACCAGCATTCTGCAATCCTAAACACGTTTATTAAAGTACAGTATAATGTTGCAGTAGGGAATACATTTAGGTAACCACAGACAAGACCGTGGTGTCATCAAGATTTCCTGCCACGGCAAGTGTCGTAGCCACAGACACTGTTCCTTGTCTTGTGAAAAGGGAACAGCCACAAGATTTTGCAGCAACAGAGGGTGTTTAAAGAGGCCAGCCCAAAAGGCAGGAAAGCAACACTCACAGTGGGGAAATTCCCAGACTGTAACATTCCAGCAGAGTTCCTCATATGCCTGGGGGCGTAGCTTGTTCTAAAGTGATAAAATGCAAAAGGGAACAAGGCTCCTGCATTATTAGTTGTTGAGCAGAAAAGAGAATTCGACCAGGTGTAGTTTGTATAATATCAAAAGCTGCTGAAATCCTTTATTCTATGCTAGTGGTTCCTAGCCTTGGGTCTCCAGATGTTCTTGGACTAAAATTCCCAGAAATTTTCACCACTAACTGTGCTGGCCAGGATTTCTGAGATTTATAGTATAAGAACATCTGGGGACCCAAGGTTGGGAGCCATTATTCTACATGAACTCCAAAACAGACTGTTGCTAATTACTTCATTTAAGATGACCAGGTGAAAAAGAGGATAGGGTTCCTATACTTTTAATAATTGTTTAGAAGAGGAAATTTCAGCTTTTGATGTAAGCTACTCCTGCTGGGATGCCTTGCTCCACACAACTAACTATTAAAGGTGCAGAGACCCTGCTCTCCTTGTCATCTGGTCATCCTGTATTTGTGGCCCCGTCGCAAAGAAATGAGCTTTCATAGTCTGCAGAACTTTTGATCAAGGTGGGCATTGCAGAGCCAGTGATGGGGAAAGGCAAACAGAAAAGTCCAAAAATTCTCCTCCCACCTAGATGTTGAAGATTCAGGATCTACAATCACACCGAAGTTCTAACATGAAAGCTACAAAATTTGAGGTCATAATATCCCATTTCACCTCAAATAATGTAGAGTCAGTTGTTTCGCTCCACTTGTATAGACTACTGGTTCCCAACCCTGGGTCGCCAAATGTTCTTGGACTACAGTTCCCAGAAATCCCGACCAGCACAGCTAGGGGTGAAGGCTTCTGGAAATTTTAGTCCAGGAACCTTGGTTTGGAGCCACTGGTCTAGGACAAAGGACTGGCTATGGAAACCTTTTTTTACATACATTGAAACACAGCACTCTTGTGTTTACTGGGAGTAGAACCACCCAGAAACATGGCAGCCACCATAGCTATTAAATAGTTCTGGGGTTCTGTTCTTTTCTCCAGCTGGTCCCACCTAATTTGCCCCATGTGAAACAAATGTGTATCCAGTCCTTGTTGGAAAATTATGATCAGAGTATTAGCAAGTAGAAATGTTCATCCTAATTTGCTGCTTGTACATGTCCAGAATTGACTTTGGGAGTTCCCATGTTAGTTGACTTCATGATGTGGGAAAATACATCAGATATCTATGTTTTCATTTTTCCTTCCCTTTTGAGAGAGAGACATGAAATGCTAAATTATTAAAACTACTGGTGCTTCCACCAGGCATTACAGGCATCGTATCTTTTAGTCTCATAAAAAAGCTGCCCCCCGCCTGACCTAT